TCTCCTTGAAAAGATGAAATTCAGTGTACTGGAGCTGCAGGAGTACCTGGACACCTACAACACCAGAGAGGAGGCAGCTGTATCGGTAACTTCTACACTACTGATAAATTAGTTTTTATGCAACTGTGTGACTAGTAGACTGTTTGCCAACCCTCGTTTTTTTCACCCTTTTCTCCCCACCTTTGTTTTTTCCTACAGTGGCTGAGAAACTGTAAGGACACATTTCCCAGGTGCCCTGGTGACAGTGTGGTTACCTGCCAGCCTGGAGACTCAGAGGAGAAGGTATGGGCAACTTATTTATTACAACAGGTATCTTACATTTACAGGCAAACATGCTCAACATACAGGTAACCTCCTGAGCTGGGCTTTATATTTCTGTTTGTGTTTGCCTCTTTGAAATGCTTGCAATCTTTGCATGTTTGCGGTGATATTTATTTAATCCTCCTGACTTTTTCCCTAGCCACCAAGGACTAATTGAGTTGCTGGGTTTTACACACTGTTGACTAATTTTTAGTAGCTGGTTTATACTGTGCAATGCATGGGTTTTATTGACACTTTGTCTTCCTCTCATCTCACTCTGATGCCCTAACATGCTCTCTCGCTAGCAAATGGAGTCTCTTGCAGTAAGTTATCTTACTATTTACTTCAGTTTCTTCACTTCACTGTCTAAGAATCCTCCTAAATAAATGCACCATCGTGTTATGCACAGGCTACTTGTGATGTGTTGTATTCCTTTGCATGTGTGTGTATGTATGGTGTGTACTTTTGAGAATGTGTGACTATGTTATTGCATGTGTATGTGTGTGTTCTTCTCTACTGCTGAATATGACCACATTTCTTTATTGTCTTCTAGCAACTGGAGCTTTGTCAGAGGCTCTACAAGCTGCATTTCCAGCTTCTCCTGCTCTTTCAGTCCTACTGCTCACTCATTGGTCAAGTTCATGCCATCAGCTCTGTGCCTGAGGTGAGCCCAATCATAATTCATAAAGATATCACACTAATAGCCTCTGAAGAGAATCCTGATTATTGGATCACTTTATAAAATTAGCATCTGCTAGGACATAAAAGCTCAGACACCCACATTCAACTATACATTTCCCTTCCATTTTTTAGTTGCTGAACATGTCTCGAGAGCTCACTGATCTGAAGTCCAGCCTGCAGGCAGCAGAGGTGGCTGTAGCAAGCGACCTAGAACATAAACACTTGGCACACACCACGCAGGTGGCAGCCATGGTTGTGCCCAGCTTCCCCACCTCAGAGGCAGCTGTGCAGGCCATACTGGAGTGCCTTAGGAACCACGAGTTCACCAAAGCTGTACGCTACATCCAGGAGTGCAGGTGAGTAACAGTGTCTACCAAACTGCTAAACTAGGGGGTTTGCCAGATTACATCAATATCAAGTAGTTTGCACTGATATTTAATAACCTTAAATATGGATATATTTATGTCCTAGTGTCATATTTACTCTGTGCATTTCACAATTGTCTGGAAGTAGGAAGGAGTCTGAAACATCAGTTAGATGGCTGTATGTGAAAACTGGATTGAAACAAGTAATCTTGAAGTGATTTCAGTAGCAACAGTACTTCTGCAAGGTAATTCATCCTGAATAGTCAGTGGTATAATTAACTATGGGATAGATTTGTGCTTACATGTTTGTTAAATAAACAGTTGCTTAATATAACTACAGCACTGAGTCCTATTATTAGAAATGAATTAAAGCCCAACATTTGGTTTAATTTGAAATCTGTTTGATTCTTACACAACATACATCAGCGTGACTTCACCACCTCTTCTTGCTCTTCCCTTTAAAAAGTTAGTAGCCCTCATCCTGAAAATAGCTGCCTGAGAACACTGTCAAATGAGCACACGCAACATCGTTATTTTCTTCACGTGCACCCATAGAGTGTTGCTCTCTTTGTATTCATCTGACATATTCTAATATCACACTTGCTCTTTTATATCATTTTCAGGAGGCGATGGCCCACCGGGGTGTTCGGTGGCAGCTCAGAGAGTGAGGTCCAGACATTGCTCAATGTCTATTTTCGCCACCAGACGCTGGGTCAGACAGGCACCATTGCCCTGGTTGGTTCGCGCCAGGACCTCAGCCTGATCTGCTCCAAGCTGCTGGAACTCAATGGGGAAATTCGAGACATGATCCGCCGTGCCCAGGGTTACCGGGTCGTCACAACCTACCTCCCCGACTCCAGCGCCTCCGGGACCAGCCTCTGACAGGACCTCAGGAGACCCCCCCCCCCCCCCCCCCGCCCCCCACCCCCTCCGCCCCCACCCTTACCTCCCCCATTACTGCAACCACTGACCCTTCCAAAACCACCTCCACATCCCTTGCTGCCATCTCAGCTTGCTCTTACAGAGGAAGCCCAGCACCCACATACATGGCCCCTGCCTCCTCCTGTGTTTCTACTTCCCCAGCTGCATGGCTCCAGACAGGTACCCCCGTACCGGCCTGCCCAACACTAGAACCACAACCATATTTACATCATGACCCAAACCTTTCTCTGCTCTCCTCATCCTTATCCACTCTAGACTCAGATACCTTGTTGCTTGATTTTCCCAAACCCCCCGACCTGTTCTCACCTCATAGCTGCACACCAGGGCAATCCAATTTCACACTGCCAAATACACAAGAGCCAAGGAGGGGTGATCTCAATGCTAACCTTTATTACCCTCTCAGAGGACATTTATCACATAGTTCACCGTTGTCACATTTACACAGCAACAAACACCTGATATCTAACAGGCTTCCGACAGTAGCCTCCGAACCCAACTTGCTCACACACTCTGACAGAGACACACCTTCCGTTTCCCTTCTAGGCTCACATCTTCCACATTTCCCTCGTTCTCCATATAAACACTCAAACCCATCTCCAGTTCTACACCCAGACCATGACACAGTCTTCACCCATGGCCCTGCCCCATCTTCATCCCTTTTACCTCCTCCACCTACCCCACCCCTTCCCACCAGCCCAGGAGAGGCTGCAGCTTGGGGTTGTTGTTGCTCCTTTGGTGGCGCTACTACACCCTTATCTCGTTACCTGGGAAAGGTGGGACACGCTGCCTTACCTCTACTGAAAGTCGGGGGGCTCCTGAATGCTGAACCATCAGATGTTCAGACCTGAGACATAAACTTAACCAGAGCTTATACCTCTGTGAATCCAGACATGTGAAAGTAACTATTCCTGACCAACTCTCAGATCTTTGTATGTGAAAAGGAGAAGAGGACATGCCAGAGATACCTAGAGATTTTAAGCTTTTAAGAACAGTGAATCATATCCCAGACATAATGGGATGTATCACTGGACCCAAGGGATACTACTAATTACTGTATGCTGATAAATACCTGATGTGATTCTACTGAAGTGCAGGCTTCACTTTACAGCTACAGGTTGTACAGTGGATGTGTTCCTATTTGAGTCCTGCTTGAAGGTCATCATTAAGTATCTACTCCGTTCTGCTCTTAGCTTGAACTTTCTTCCCAGCAGAACTAAAGACCTGACTGAATTTGACAGACTGTTGCTGCCTCCTTCAGCAAAGACTCAGTTTGCTGGTATTATCACCAGAGACGGTGAAAACACCACTTGTGACACAACATAATAGCACTGGTAGAGTTTTTGCTATTGCACTAAATGGAATTTTGGTATTAGTTTTTAAAAAATGTTCTAGAAAGGCAGTTAAGTTTATTTTGTTACTGTGAGAGAAAAGGCTGTCACTTTTTCCAAGAAGGAAAAGCCAGAAGCTGGAGTAACTTTTCTCACCTATTGTATCTACTGTTTTGAGCCCTCCTCTGGAGGGAATTGTGCAATGCATGGCCTAGTTGAATGCTTTCTACTGTACACTAGTAACCCTTTTGCTCCCTAAAAGTATGACGTCTCCAGACTGACTGAAACTGACAAAGAGCAGATGCAGAATATTGAAGCATAATTCCTTATGCTGCCCTCAGTCTGTTTATATTCTGTGTCGGTGAACCGGCTTGTCCTCTGACTACCATTGTAAACATTGGTAGACTAATCATGCCATTATCTGTGCGCGGCGTACACTCCTCTGTGGCTAGTTGTAGCATCATTGAGTGTACACACTGTAGAAATAGCAGTCCAACACTGTAACGTGTTCACATGCCAAGAGGATGGTGCATGTACTGTATACACTCATTTTGTCTCTATATTGTCAATAGTTACAGGCACACAACTGTTGTAGCATATGTTTGTGTGTGGTTTGTAGTTACCCTACATACAAGGGAAATGCTGATATTCAGCACTCGTTGACGTTAAAAACAAAAATGTGCGCTACTAGTTGAACACTTCCTGTTGTCAGTCTTTTCTGTCACTTGCCTTTTGCTGTACAAATGTCTTTTTCCTATTTATATTTGATCAGCTATAAATCACTTGTTTTATATATTGACATCTGTTCTCTCAAATCAAACTGCCATGCATGCATCTTCTGTGTACTGTATGGTGTTTGAAATATTTAACAAAAGGTTTGTATAAGGTACAAAAGGGAGCTTTGAGCTCATGTGGTACTTTTTTTTTCCTGTGTGTGCATGCCAAACAAGAAATTGCACATTTTTAAAGCTTTTTAGATGAATAGTTTTTTCCTCTACCTTGTAAATACTTTTACAACTAGTGTGCTTTGAGTTGCTCTGTACAAAGTATAAAGACATATCAGAATTGCTTCTTGTGCATTTCACTTACCAGTTTTCATTTTAATCAGACTGGATGTGCATTTTTAAATTAAACATGCTGTATATTCATTTGTTGTTATAATTGACCATATAACAGCGAGGTTTGTGAAGTCTGTGCATAGATTTTTTTAATCAACACAATTTCTTAGTCAAGACCATTTATCAATAGGTTTTTGTTTTATGTCAAGTGTCTGCATTCGAGCAGCAGGAGTCAAAATCCAAGCTCTAAGACTGTAGCAGGTTAGATTCAATAGATCAAGGTTTTAAATGCGAGTGCAAATTTATGTGTAGTCCACAAAAATGTCTTAACATTTGAAATTCTTTATTACATAAACCTTATTTCTTTTTATAAGAACAGTTAAGCACCAAGATCAGTGGGGTGAAAAACAAATCTTCCATTTGTGGCACATTCAGGTACTGCACGTCTGCAGACAAGTGGCCTCTGCTTGTTAACGAATGCCATCAGATCTACATGATGAATGGGCGATGCCAGACCAGAGCGAACTCCCTGGGTAGCTCAGACAATGTATTTGAAGCTGTAGGTGGCATCACAAGACAGCCTCATACCCTTGCAGCGACAGCACAGGTCCTGACGGTGAGGCCTCTTCATATTCATGTGTCTCTGCTTCTTCTCACAGCTACAGCAGGTCTGAGAGCAACCCTGGGACAAAAGATTAGGAAGTAAATGGCAACAGCAGGAGAAGAAACACTTAAACTGAAAAAGCCTAAAACCTGATTCTACAACATTTCCTCCTGGATCAAGACAAGTAAACGTACCTTGCATAGGATTGGCTCCACTTTGTAGGGGTTAAACCCCACCTGACACTTCCGGCAGAGCTGCTTGTAGTATACCTGACAAGATTTATACATTTTTTGTAGTTAGTATTATGAATGCTGACTTAAGCTAGTGTCTGTTAATCATACAGTGCTGCTGACCACTTACTTTACTGGTTCCAGAGATACACCATACATAAGCACTCTCCCACCGGATGTTGCACTTTTTGCAGTGGAAAAAGCCATACCTCTGCTCCAGGAACTAATGAAAACATTTTAAATTGTCAGAAATCAGAGAAGAGACACTGCATGGCATTATGCTGTGATGAAGGTAGGCTTTTTTTGGCATACTGAATGATATCCTGAAGAGTATATGTATCACATCTAATTTTAAGACCTCCATGAGCTGAGTTTTGTGCTTGTGTGTCGCAGATTTCTGAATCACATTACCGCCAACAACACTTGTATGGTCTTAGTGGGTTTATAACTGCAAAAGGCTATTTATCACAGTGGAAATATGAACCCATTGAAAGTTCTTTCTCTTCAGGTTTCTTGACACAGGAGCCCACCTGAAAGTTGGAGCCTTTTGAAGGCTGCTGGAAAGTAGTCTTCAATTCCTTTACTGGGTCCTCGCAGTTTTGAGCATCGGCATCCTTGTCAGACTCCACTTGGCCGGTGGCTTCAGCCCCTCTTTTATTTTCACTGTCGTCGCCGAGTTTCTTCAGTAAATTCCTGCGGTCAAACACCGGCGAGTAGATGGAGACAGGCCTTAGAAAGCGCATATTACTCACTGGCGATGTGGTGTAGGGCGCACTCCCGTCTGGTTTGAACAGATTCGGGTTCTTAGGAGACTTCAAGGACTCAGAATAGTCGCTTTCCAGGCCGAACAGCGTTTTGGGACCCAGCGAGCACTGAACGATTTTATCTACTTTGGCGTTCACTTGCACGCCGCACTCCTTCGTGTTTGCTTTCTTGAGTGGAGGGGGTAAACTGGGGCTGACTTGGGACAGGATCGCCTTACAGAGCTCCATGTAGCTGAGGCCCTGGGGCGTCATGAAACGGCCCTCTTGCTTTCCCCAGCTGCTGCCCTGAGCCGGGACAGTGTACACCGGGTTCCCGTATGGTGAAAACGTGGACAGGAACCCCTCCATCCTGGATAC